TGAGGAAGACACCTGGCTGCCAAGCTCCCACACTGACTGTGGCCGAAGGGAAGGACACCAGAAAACGCGCTCTGCTTGTGTCCCATGAGTTTTGGAGTTGTAACAACTGCGTAGGCCGTCTTCATATGATTTAGATTATCCCAAAGGGTCCTAGGTACTGTTATCGGGGATACTTTCCCAAATCATAAGAACAACCCTTAGTATAGAAACCCTACATTCTACTATACAGGTACTTTGGACCCTTTGTGTATGTCTCTCATCGAGGGGTATTGGGCTTTCTGCAAACCGTCGGTAATTTCCCGACGGCGGGTTCTCCATTAGGGTCCTCTGTGGGGTCCGCTGCGGTTCAGGGGGGCGTTAAAGCGTTAGAGCTTAGGATGAAGAGATTTTCTGGCCTGCAGTGGTTAGAAAACAACATATAGGTTTGTTACCATTTGTTTTGCATTTACCATTTGGGACTATCAGTTGTTTATCGTTTTCCTATCGTTTTGGAAACCCCACTGAGGCGCTGGCAGGCCTGTCAGAGGCAAGAAAACAGCACTTTTCCTGGACTGGTACCATTTTTTATAAATGATTTTCACCATTGTTTTTCATGTTTTTGTTTTCATCATTTGTCATATCCTTCTTTATCATGTTTTATCATTTTTATATCATTGTTCTATGTTTTTTCAAGGCCCCTCGGCAAGCCTGCCGGGCCAGGGGCCTCCGCGGGGCCTCCAAAGACGACAAAAAATGATACACACAAACGATAGATAAATTATAAAGCAGTATTCAAAAACTATAGAGAAACTAGATACCGGATAGCAGTGATAATGAAATCAGTAGTTGTGGCCCCAATCATGTACAGCAAAAAGTCACTGAAGATTAGGGTTTGCAGAGCAGGAAGCTCCTTAAGCAGATCCTATGCCAATGCCGGGGTTTTACTATAATCTAGGGTTTCGGGTCATAGGGCTTGGGTTTGTGCACTCGCACAGATATATGTACATATATATATGTATATATATATACATACATATACATATACATGTACAAAAATCCGTACAACCATGAATCCTACATAGGGCTTAGAGGTTTTACGATTACTCCTCTTTCGAGGAACCGTTGGGAATACAGTTCCTAAGCGGGAGATCCTCCTCGTCCAGCTTGGCCATTGGTTTTGGGTTTTGGGTTTGGGGCCGGCAATTACTTTGTAACATAGGGGCCTTAATGATTAGAATAGGGTTTGGGGTATATTATGCCATAATTATAACAAGGAACCCCCCAAAACCCTGTTCTAATTCTTAAGGCGCTTTATTTCCTAGATCTCCAAGTTGGGGTCCTAGGTTCCTTGTAAAACTACCCAAGACCATTGAACCAAGAAGGGAGGCCTCTTTTTCCTACGTTAATGGGGAATCCTAGGCAACGGCCATGTAAGTGTCCTTGTTCCTGCTGTTAGTGGCATACTCTCTGTCTGATGCTGGAAGTGGGGATTTCTGGAAGGTGGGGTGGCATGTGTAGAAAGACAGAGTTTGCAGGAGTTCGAATACAAGGACGACAAGTTCAAGTCCACGTCGTTGCTCCATCAGCATCTCGAAATGTATAAACTAAATGGTAGAGAGTTGAGGATGTCTTGGTCTAAATGTTCGAGTGCCCGCCACTGCATGCAGTCATTTACGCCTAAGAGCCGGTATAAGAGCTGTTCCACCCTTCCGCCAACACATCATAGTATTTTCAATATTGGGCCACTCGACCTGGACCAGGTATTGCGCGATGGAAGCTCTCAATGCGGAGCAGTTAAGCACCGTAGATGCAATGCTGTCCGGGATGAGGCCTGACGCTGACGAACCTTGCCTGTGGTCTGGAAAGTGTGTTGCTTATGGTTGGTTTTTGCTTGTAATCTTCACAGCCTTCGTGCTGTCCAGCAACAAAGACTTCTCCGAAAGCATGGGACATATCGATCTTTAGACGGGCTGTCTACCTTCTACATTGTCCAGATGAACCGCATGCAGGTCAGTTTGACATATGGTTTCTGCTGAAAGGAGCTTTGAGATTGTAAACTCTGCCTGGGGCTTAGATTTAAGGGTTTAGGGTTTAGGGTAATCGAGTCCGCTTACGCTTCAGGCAAGAGTGTTACTGATACTGCACTAGAGGACTGGTGGGGCGAACGCCGTGAAGAAGAAGATGGGAAGCCAGTCTTGAAGCGAGTCCACGCCCTCCATGTCGCGACCCTGGATTCTGCAGCAATTAAGCTTTCGAATTGCTTTGTTGGTCTTCACTTTCCTTATGAGCGCCATTAACGTAAACCTTAAGGCCCTAAACCCTAGATCCTGACCTTTGTTGTTTTTGGGGATTTTGTTTCCTTTTGGGAGCAAGTTTCCAAGCTAAAACTTCGATGTTTGCCTGCTTGAGCGCCTCAGACACCGAGGACCTTCTACGGAAATGCAGCGCTGGTGCAGAAACTCTTACAGGACCACCTTCACCCCGCAGAACCTAGCTTTTTGAGGACTGTTATAAAGAAACGGTTATAAGGAACCCTAAAAAGGTGGGTTATTTGGGGTGCAGGCAAAGCTTGGTTCTGCTTTGGGCTTTCACCTATAGTCTCCATGGTAATTCCTTTTGTTTGGTTTAACCAGCTTTCTATTTAGGATCCTAGAAGGTAACCCCCAAAAGGAACTACAAAGGAGACTATAGGTTGGGTGGGGGCCTGCAGAAAGGTTTAGTCCATGTGGGTGGGTAGTTCTCTAAACCAGGGCCCTTTTTAGGTCCCCAATATAGTATGGCACACTTATAAACAGGAACCCAAATTTGATCCTAGTTTAGAGAACTACCCGGCTAGCATCTGACCTTTGGAAGACGTTTTTTTTAGCTCTTCGCAGGACAACCCAAAAGCTCTTGAAGCCTGAGCCACAACCTACGGTTGATGATATAAATCCTGAACTTCCTTAAGGCCCTAAGCTACGGGAAGTATGGTATATTCCGTACTATGGGTATTGCAGGATTTATATCATCAAGCCGTGACGAACAGACACGGTAATTCAACCCGAACTGCACTTCATTCCCAAGCTCTGAATCACTTCAGCCCTTCAGCATCCCCAGTGTGAAGCACCCGAAGCCATGAAATCCGGAAGCCCCCGTTACATGCACGATGTCGGCACTTTTGAATCTACATGCTCGAGGTCCTGGGCTCCTAAACCCGAGAGCCACCGCCCGAACAAGCCTTGCTGTAAAGCCTCAACATCTTCCGCCCTTTGAACGTTTTCCAGGCGGAGGCGGACATAAACGTACAGGAAGTCGAGGAAAAAGATGGAAAAAAGACGTTGAAGAGCACTTCGCTGCATGTAGCAGTGCCTAGCTGGCACTGGTGATTTCAGGGATGAAAGCCCAGCGTGTTTGAGGATTTTCATAGGTCTTGAATTTGGTCTGGGTTTGTGGTTTGGAGTTTGAGGCTCGTGGACTTTTTGCTGAGGCTACCGCCAGGATTCTATGTCGGTCCGCAGAAGCAGCAAGGCAAGTGCCAAGCTGTTAGGAATCGTGAGCCTGATCCTAAACGGCAAGCTCGGCATCTACAAGGATACACAGCATCTTGCAGCGTAGTTTAACCTCGACTTAGATTGTTTAATTTTTGAGTTACAGCATCAGGAACTCAGAAAGTTTGTACACGGGCCCCACTACAAGCAGAATCTCCAATGCAACACACGTTTCTGTTACATGCGAACTCATGGGTCCTAGGTGCTTTTTACGTTCGATGACTTGTTCTGGTCCATAACATGCTGCTGGGTTTCTTGGCTAGGACGTCGGTATAATATAGAAGCCTAAAGAATTACCAACCTTATTCCTTCCTTATTCCTTTGGGTTCCTCATCGTAACTATCTTATATTGTCCCCCGAAACCCTAGTCTAAGATTACGGCCCTATAATGATGCCGAAAACAGTTGCCAGAGGGAGGACTTCTCAAGCCGCATTGGCCAACGGCACCCCATGGCACGACCTCCGTCAATACAACAAGCAACCGACTTCCGCATCTGAAGCCTTAGAGCCCCAACCCGAGTTGTTTTCTTCTTACAAGTTTGTTTACAGCTATGTGAAGCGATGTGTCGTGTTGCGAAGCCTCCTCAACAACATGTCGCTCAGATTTGGTACCACCGGCCAGAGGTGATCAAGGCCGACGAGCGGGATTTGCGGCGTGCATGGGGTATTGGGTGTCTGAAAGAGGGGGCATGCTGCAGATGGTGCTAGAAGCACCGAGGCGCACACTTGGAATTCCGCTACCATATTTGTTTAGCGGCCCTGTGTCTTCTGGCCACGCCTCGGTTCATGATTCGAGTGTTGGTTCGGTCCTGTGTCCACGACAACGACGCCGCCTGGATTCATTGAAATTGTAAGCCCTGCCTAGAAGATGTCTGGGAAAGCAGCTCTGTTGGAGCCAGAATGGTGGGGAAGCTCTGTCATAACATGGTGGATGGCGGAATGTATGGATTAGTCGCGACGATCACCCGGACGGGCCGAAGGTCGAGATGTGGCAGTCTAAATTTAGCTTCCCTTTGCTGGTACCTCAACTTCACTCCTGCCCCCCCCCCCCCNNCTGGAAAAACGGGCCAATCCGTCCATCCTCTGGGGCTACTTCACGTCACTGCACCACGCTGCCCGTCTGGGTAACGCAGAAGCTGTGCAAGGCTCCTTGTTTCATGAGTTTGTGGATCATCTATAGTCTCCATTGTAGTCCTTCGTTGGGTGGCCTTATGTGTGTATATATTCGAGTAAGCAAACAAGAATGAACAAATCAACATATCAGTTAACTGGAAATATAGAGGGTCATACATCGGAATTGATGAGTTTGGTTAAACCCAAACAGGAACTGCAATGGAGACTATGGGTATGGTCTGATTTGTTTGGTCAGGTTTCGGCCGGGGATGTCTACCTTTCTAAACTTAGACATCCGGGGGCTCGCAGGCGTTCAGAGTATGTTATGGTGTAAGGCTGTGTAAGGATTGTCTGTGTCAAAGCCTCCAGTAATCAAGACAGGCATCCTCGACGCCGCAAGGCAGCAGAAGCTTTTTGAGGACCAGAACGAGGACGAGTTGCAGGGCTGCTGATGGTTTGGAACCCTAAACCCCAAACGCTAAACCGGAAGCGCAGTGATTGTAAAGCCTACATCCACAGAAGCCTGTCGACAAGCTCATTATATTGAAACTGCCCCCCCGTAGCATTAAGCATGCCGTCCGGCGAAAGAATAATTTGATAATAGGGATCTATGCTTAGAATGTTCCCGTCCCTCGGGGTTTAGTCTTCCTAAGGCTGCAGAACCTGCGGTCCTGCTCTCCTGCGGTTGCTGTCGCCCTGCAGTCCGCGCAGTTCTAGCCGCTCCTGTAATTCTAAAAAAGCGCCTTTGGGAAGGGGCGGCGACTGGGGAAAGAAAGCGTCATAGAGTTTCGAATGCTGTGCTAATCCTTAAACGTCAAAATGCACGTGGAAGGGATGACAGCCGAGGATTTCCTCCAAAGAGGGAGAGATTCGATACAGGTTATATGTACTGAGTAAAACTGGATCCACAACTTCCAGCCCTTGACGGTACACTGTTAAGGGTATCCCGACGAGGCTGAAGCTGCGTTGTGGTCTTGGTCAATCAAAGCTATGTACTGTTTGGGGGCCATACTTTAGGGCCAAAGTATGCACTATGCGTGTACATGGCCCTTAGGGTTGGCGAACCCTTGAGAATGACCGAGCAATTAGCTCCAAACTACCCGAAGAGTTCCAGCTGCGCAGGACTGGAAGACCACCACTTTTGAACATCCAAGAGGTCGCTCGGCACTCCGACTTGCTTGTGAAGCTGATCATTCGAAGTGCTTCCAACACCTCTTGGAGGCAATGGAGGAGGACACGTGGGGTCTCGCTTGCCCGAATTGGCTTTAGCTGAAAGTCTGAATGTAACACCCACACACACAGACATTCTGGTTACAAGTGCAGTGAGGGTTCTATGCTTGAGCTGAGAAATCCCATTGAGAACTTCACGAAGTTCAGACCAGTGTCTCTGGTGTCAGAGGCCTTACAGTAGGCACAATAAATCGTGGAAGGAGATTCTGTTTCGGAGCAGGATTTAGCACGAAGAAGACGAACCGACTGCCCTACAGCAGCAGCACCAGCATTAGGACGGTTTTTCATTGATGTCGTGGGTCTGTCTAGCTCCTATGGGCCTTTGTTAGGAGAAGAAGAGCGCTGGCGGATTCCCGGACTACTGGAAGTCAAAAAAGAGCAAAGAGAATCAACAAGCCTTGGTGGACTATGCATTCGAGCAACGACCAAGCATTGCATCTTTGCTTTTGGAGCACTATCACGACATGGCTGTTGTACGCGAGCTGCTGAAAGGCCGAGAAACTCGCTGGAGCTGTGGCAAACTTTCTTGTCTGTGGTAGTCCAGATCGAGCCCTTACTATTTTTATATAGTTAACACACAGAGCTGGGACGGTCTGAGACCAACAAGCCTTGAGAAGTTTCGTATTGACAGTGACAGCGTGCATAAGCAAATTCTCTGAAGGAGCTGCAGGCAAGTCGAGGCCAAGCCCCAGAGCCGGGACTGGTGGAAGGAGTCCCTTAAACCACCTTGACCACTATAATTCCTAAACCCCAAGCAAACCCCCGAAACTTTGGGAGTTGAGAGCACCCCCTAAACCCTAAAACCCCTAAATCCCTAAAAAGTCAACCCTAAACCCCAGCCTGTACCTTCAATAGCACCGTTCCGTGTTCTCTTGCATCACTCCAACTACTGTTGATGAAATAAGTCCTGAATTACCTCAAGGACCCTAGACTATGGGAATTATGGTAAATTCCTTTTTATGAGTAATGCAAGATTTATATCATCAACCGTATTGTCATGTTTACTTGTGTGTGTGTGCGCGTGTGTACTGGCACTGAACGACTACACCGTCAACCCTACACCTCAGAACTAGGAAGTTGAGATCATCACAAAGATCCTCAAGAACTCAGCTGACTGGAAGACTGCCTTGGACAATTTCGTGAAGGATCCTGAGCAGAGACCTGGTTGGCCTTTAGGACTTTCGCAGGCCTTCGGTTCTGAGATGCCTGTGACATACTGCTTCCGCAAGAAGCCCCCAAAGCACCGATGGATCTGTTAATTTCCGTTGCCATGCTTTGCCTTTTGCGGTTTCAACAGTTGAAGCGGTATATGAGGTCCAAGAGCTTGGGAACGGGGAGGGGCTGGGAGTCATGCATTGGTGATGTGATTATTATGCTTAGCACCACGCAGGGCTTTCTTGGGAAGGATCCGCCTGCTTATGGGTCCATATTAGAGCCCCTTATTCTATGATTCCATATTGAAGCTACTGGCAGGTGTACTGAGCTAACCCGGCACGCCTGTGCCCTATAGGCTTGTTCCAGCAGGTTGATGCTTTTGGCACGATGCCACCGCCACTCAAGACGGGTAGATAGGTGAGGTGCGCCATAGATCGTTGGTCTCCGCACTTCTCGTGAAGAGTGGTCAGGCATCAGCTACTGGCTGGAAAGAGAAAGGTCTGGCATACATACGATTGGACGACTCATTCCAGGAACCGCTTTGGCGGCAGGCTTCTTTTTTGGCCACGTCAGGTGATGAACTGACTCTTTGCGTCAGAATCTGGGGCAACGTCACAGTTTTCAGGCTTCAGTCTCGGCATTTTGTGCTAGTACGAGGTGCTGCTGATCAGCTTCGGGAACGATGCCGCGAGCCACACCTAAGCCTAGAAGTGTCACCCCAGGAGCTGCGCAAAGCAGCCAGGCAGTTGTTGGACGGAGAGGCAGATGCAGTGTATGTCACTGCATCAGAGGACACAGAGACTGGAGAGCGCGTTTCGACCGCAAGGAAAGCAACGGTCACGAAGGACAGCGACAGCGAGTCTGGGGAAGAGGATCTGTCAAAGATGTTGTCCACGGCCAGAAAGAAGTGGCGAGACACTGGTTCCAGCTCAGACGAGGGTGGAACCGTGCCAAAGAGCAGCGCATCTCTCAAGGACCGGTTTCCTTTTCTGCACAAAGCAAGCGGGAAGGCCTCTTCGTCCACGCGTCAGGATCCGACATTGGCTTTGCAGATGCAGTTGCTCAAAAGCAAAGACAAGGATCCACTTCAGACACTGGTTGCTTTGGAACTGCTGCGAAGGGCGAGGGAGAAGTCTCACACTCGCAAGGTCCGAAGTCCCTCCAGCTCATCCAGCGACAGCAAGGATGCAGGGAGCGAGCACAAGAGCCGAACCGCCAGAGGCTTGGGAAAAGCCTTTGCAGATTATCGGCAGTCTTGGAGATGCATGTTCCGCAACCCCAAGAACCATATCAAGAAGTACGTCCGAGACGTTCAGGGTCAGCTCGGAGCGGGCCCGGACATGCCATTTCGGCTGACCGACTACTCCAAGAAGATCTGGTTTGGCAAGCAGCGAACCCTCCAGAGACTCCATGCCCTGCTGTCAGAAGTGTTGACGATGCAGCTGGAGAACCGCCACGAGGAGGCTACATTGCAAGTCTGGGCCTTCCTGCAACCCACCACACCAGCTCGGACTCCGGAAACTGGCAGGCAGCATGGCTGCTGACTCACTTGGAGGATCCAATGCAACGTCGTCGTTTCGGCGGAGAACAGTCTCAGTTAGAGACGGTCGCCGCCTACCTGAAGTCCCAGCAAGAACTGGAGAAGAGAACCAGGCAAGCTCGCTTCGGCAACCGTGCAGAGACAGAGAACCCAGACGAGCAAGCCGAAAGAGCGACAGACCCGGAGAAAGACAAAGAGCGCAGAGCTCGCAAGGGTGCTGGCAAAGGCCAGAGCAATTAAAGGATGCTTTTTGCCGACGTCTAATTCGTTTTGATTCCGTGAGAGCTACATCGGCTCTGGGCGTTCTGCTAAACAGTGCGGGGCCGTTTGGAAGATTCTGGCGAGAATACAAGTCCTGCAGAAACAGAGTCGCTTCTGCGTCTCTGCTTGGGACGAGTAAGTGAAGAGTGCATGTTGTTTCCGTCGTTGCTGCCGGTGTGGGAGTTTTGTTCGCACCGGGACTGGAAGAAGCCCAGGAGACGACGAGGCAAGAGCCAGCTGCGCAGTGGCTCGAGACTCTCTGGGCCTTGTTCAGTTTCCTGGAGTGTGGGTCCCCTTCTTCTTCACATGCCGTACAGAAGGTAATGTTGAAGTTAGAGCGTAGCCAATGGACACATGTTCACCGGGGTCATGCTGCGAATTTGTTTAGCAAACAGCTACCTACTGCCGCCTTTCTGACCCCGAGTCGACTAGTCGTGGCGTAAAAGGCCTTGAACAGGTAATTAATGCCACAGCCGGTGCAAGTTATGACAGTCTCCCCACGTTGAGCGCAGAGGCTCTTACCAAACATTCGCTGCCTGTCAATCCCGATCGCATGTCATTGCCGGAGCTAGCTGGGCTGATCTGGCCACCTGATTTCTTTACCCAGTCGCAAAAGCGGGAGTTCCTGACAATGCCACAGTGGGTGCCTACTGTAAGCACGGGCCGGGCCCTGAACTCAGGGCTTGCCACAACGTAGCACCAGCTGATGAGCTAGGGGTTGTCAAGAAGCTGCTTTCTTCAGGCATGGCCATGCTCATACCAGCTAGCGAAGCTGTAGCCGATTCGTCTGGCAGCATCGTTTCCGGAGGATTGTTTGCCGTCCCACATAAGCCCGATAGTGATCGGGTCATTAATGATGGGCGTCCGTTTAAATATAGGTGAAAATGTAGGTTAGATTGGAGCAAGCTACCGCACGGCAGTTTGCTGACCCAGCTCGTACTGCCGCCTAGCTCGTACTGCCGCCTGGACATTCCATACGAGCCTCAGGACACGATCTTTCAAACTATTTTTACTTGATTAATTTTTTGCCTGAATCTGAATGGTTGCCGCACAACACCGTGGGCAGACCTTGGGACGGCAGACACTTTCCCCAGTACGGATGCTTGCCTGGTGTTAAGTACATGGTCGCGTTCAAGGTCGTATGCATGGGGGACACTAATGACACTAATGCCGTTGACATTTGCACAGCAGGTCCACGTAGGTATACTGCGAAAGGCGAGCTGTTTGGACCCCAGCATCTCCTCGAGTATGGTAGAATTGTGCCCACCTCACACACGCTAGAAGGGCTGTACATTGATGACCACCTTGTCTTGCAAATCTGGCCATCCCGTCGCGACCGCAAGGATATGAGATTTCCAGATGAGGGCATTGTTGCACCGTTGCGGCAGCAGTATGTTGACCTTGCATTGCCTGTTTCGACTAAGAAAAGGTTCACATACGAGCACGATTTTGTTGCATGCAGGTTTCCAGCATGTCCGGCCGGGTGGGATGTCCTATTGCCAAGTTGAAGCAGATTGAAGGAGCACTTGCTGAGGTAGCTAATCTCCCAAGAGCGACAAAACGCATTTTGCAGCAAGCTGTAGGTTTATGCATGCATCCTGCAATGCACAGGCGCGAAGTCATGTGTCTCTCTGAAGGTATTTTGCAATCCATAGAGCAGGCTCCTGAAGGTCAATTCCTCAAGTTGTCTATGCAATGCCAGGAAGAGCTGTTGTCCATGGTTCTCATGTTCCCTGTTCTTCATGCGAACATCAAGTGGAGAATCTCTCCACGGATCTCTGCCACTGATGCCAGTGCAGACGGCGGGGGCAGGGCTGCAACCTTCACCACCAACGCCATTGGTTCGTCATGCCGTGCATAGGGGTGAGCATGTTAGGTTGGATTGGGCATCTGGTGGCCTTGCCCCAACCTCAGACATGGCATGATTCGGCGGAGCTTGAGTCTCTCATGATGTCGCATGGTTGGACTATACCACACAGGTCAAGCGCTTTCGCAAACGTAGCCACATCAATCTGCAAGAGCTTGAGATGTTACACAAAGAGTTGACGCATTCTGCGAGTCGGGCTGTCGAGGGGCTCAGGCTGGTGAATTTGTGCGATTCCCGCGTTTGTGTCGGAGCTTGGGCCAAGGGCCGTAGTTCATCAAAGCACATTAACCGCATTTAGCCGCATTTTGAAGAGATGTTTCGGGTTTGCGATAGCTGGCTCTAAAGGTTTGCACAACGTTTGGGTGAGCACACACTCCAACCCTAGCGATTTCCCTTCTAGGTTTAGGCCTTCCCTGACCCGGCTCCTTGGGCCCCAAGTGTGGTCAGTGCTTGGGCACTCCGTGGCTGCAAGCTTGCAGAGACGCCGGCCTGACAAGGCCATGCAACATGTTGTTCTTACGAAGACATGTTTACTTGGAGACGGAGCCCCCCGCTGAGCGCTTGCGAAAAATCACGAGTCGAGTCTAGACAGTATGCCGGTGCGAAAGGCTTCGCTTCATCTTGCAGCCTAGGTTATTGCCTCGTGAGGAGTTCACTGCACGAGTGCTCAGGCTCCATCTGGTAGCGCAAAGTAAAATGAACCGTTAGACAGTTCC